CGTGTATTTCCTCTCATCCATAGCACTTGTTATGTCCTCCATTAGCTCAGTAATGGCCAGAGATGTCGATCGGTTCGACCTAAAACCATATTGGCAATCAGAGAGGATTTTATGTCTATCAATAAATGTATCTAATCTGTTATTAAATAGTTTTTCCAAGATTTTTGAAAACTGTGACAACAGAGAAACCGGTCTATAATTTGTGAAGTTGTGCTTATCTCCAGATTTATACAATGGAATAACCTTTGCTATTTTCATATTATTGGGGAACTGACCAAGTCGAAACGACATGTTAAAAACATGAGATAATGGTTTGCATATCCCCTCTATTGTCCATTTAACCATTGTCATACTGATACCATCACTATCACTGGATGACTTATTACCACATTTGTTCACTATATCTATAATTTCCTTTTCAACAATTAGTTGTTGTCATTAACAAATTTTCTTGTTTGTTATCAGACAAATGAACAAGTAAGGAATTATTTAATCACAGCTCACAAATGGTAACCAGAAGTCTTTTGCAAGTTACTGCAGTGTGGTGCTTATAAAAGGCAACTTTATTTATATAGCACATTTCATATACAGTGGCAATTCAAAGTGCTTTACAGAGTCAAGGAAAAACTGTTACAGCATTAGAAACAATAAGCACTAAAACCAGAAGAAAATCAGTTAAGACAAAGTGATGATAAAACATTGTTACAATGAGATAAAATACATAAGTGGGGTAAAACTATGGAATAATTTAGGTGTGGACATAAAAAACAGTAAGAGAATTGATGAGTTTAAACATAAATATAAAGGTATGTGTCAATCAAGATATATGCAAGAACAGGTTTAATGATTAATCAGGTGTAACATTGTGGGTGTGGTGTAAGAATGTTAACACTATGTAATAATTCTACTTGTGTGGTGTAGAAGATAATTATCAAAGTATGTAATTATGTAAGAATGTTAACAATCTGTAATAATCTTTTAGTATATCACTTGCGTGGTGTAGAACAAAATTATCTATGTAGAAATACTGCTTGCAAACCAATGATGGTAAGATGATGTTATGGGGTAGGACTAGATAAGTCTAACTTCTTCCTACTCCGTTCAAGCATGTACTAGGTATAAGCAAATTGATAATGCATTTGTGGATATGTGTGAAATTATGTGTGTTGACATATTGACTGTCTTTACATGTTTGAAAGAATAAATCAAATCAAATAAACAGAAATGAAACAAATGAAATTTCTGAAAAAGAAATTTGGCAGTTACAGTGCAGAAAGTGCAGCATAGAAACAAATCAAACTAGTGTTGCACAATATACCGGTACTAGTATGGTACCGCGGTACTGAGGCATGGTACTAAAATGGTACTATACTGCATTTGGATGGGACCGGTACTTGCAGCCCCGCCGGCAGCGCCCGCCCGCCACAGAGGAACGAAGTGCTATATGGCAGTACTTCGGCATAAAAACAAATGAGCAAGGAGAGGCAATTAACGTTGATGCGCCATTGTGTAAACGATGTTTTAAAACATGCATGGCTAAGGGCGGAAACACCTCCAACTTAGCCAAACACCTACAGGACAAGCACCCAGACCTGCACACTGAGTTCAGGGAACGACAGGTAATTTACTCATGACATGTACCCTTTTCAAATGCAATAGTTCAATAGTTTTAAGTGTGCAACACATGATAAAGAGTTCTTATCAGACATAGAATTTTTTTTTTGAGTGCAATAAGAAAAGCCTAGTATTTTGAATTTTATTTTGATGTTATTCTAAGATTTTCTATTAAAATAAAGTCAGTAATGACATTTTTTGCTTTCTCTTTTTATCTGAAAAACTATCCAAAAGTATCAAAATACATTTTGGTACCGGTACCGGTACCAAAATGTTGGTATCGTGACAACACTAAATCAAACAAAGGCACAGGAAAACAGCAGTTTTCTGTTGAAAGTGACAGAGTTGGGGCATTTAAGGTCATTGGGAAGTTGGTTCCATCTGTGTGAAGTATAGTAGCTAAAAGCAGCTTCACCCTATTTGGTTTTGATCCAAGGTTCTCCTAGCTGACTGGTTCCTAAGGAACTCAGAGCCCTGCTGGGTTTGGATTCTTCAAGGAGATTAAAAATGTACAGATGTAGGCATTCAAAGTGTCATACTTTTTCGCCGCACTGTATTTGAAAACACTTGGAAACACTTTATAGGTTACTGTACAGAATGATTGCTAATCAGCCAAGCCAAAGGAGCAGTGGGGGAGTCCCTACCTGCCAAAATCCACGTAAAGATATCTACATCACCAGGCAGGACGCACCATCCAAAAGATGGATGTTAATTATCACACCACTATGTGTGTGTAATGCACCCTGCAGTTGTGTGTCACTCACAGTAAATCAAGGATGTTTACTGTCATGGTGAATTCCAAAAAAGGAACAACTCTACAGCGATGTGCAGGAGTAAGGGGAAGGGGACAGAATTGGGTAACTGTGGAAATGGCGAGAGTGTTATGGCAAGTGGGCCAAAGTTGAGACAGAAGGGGAAGACAAAGAGTTTTATTTCAAAAGTCGAGTGCTGGATATAAAGAGACTAGATATCGGGCTGATCTTGAGATAAGAGGGCAGGACTGGATGAGGGGTGATGGCTGACGAATTGGTGGTCCACAGGTTCAGCGAACCTCAGGTAAGGCTGTCAGACACCGGACTGAAGGAAACTCGCACAGTGTAGTGGCCCCACCATCCCAGAGAGGAAGCGAAAGAAAATAGACAGATCAGTGGGGGTACCCAAGGCCCATACCCTCATGCCCATAATCCTCCCAGTCCACTAGATATTGTAGACCCCAACCCTGACAGTGCATGGAGAAGGCTGGGGCGCTGTCCACAACCAAGGTGGGAGGAGGGGGTTCAGAAGGAGTGCACAAAGGGCTGGTAGATACAGGCTTGTAGGATGTACCTTGAGAAAGTGAGGCAGGTGCAACTTGATCACAGAAGAGTTGATGATCTTCAATCACAAAAGGCCCCAGGAACCTGGGAGCCAGTTTTCTGGATGCCCCCTTCAATGGAATGTGTTCCACTGACAATGACACCTTCTACCTGGGGCTGTAGGCAGGAGCGTTGCGCCAATGACAATCTGCAATCAGCCGGTTCCAGGCAGAGGTGCAACACAATGCTGCTCTAGTGTCCTTCAACACTCTGTGGCAGCAGTGGAGGTGCGAGAACATGGAGGGAACAGTGATCTCCTTCTCTTGTGATGGGAACAGGGGAGGGTGGTACCCCAGAGAAGCTTCGAATGGGGACAACCCCGTGGCTGAACTCACCAGGGTATTGTGGGGGTATTCCACCCAGGACAGGTGTTCACTCCAGGAAGCAGGGTCTGCCGGCATCATGCACTGTAAAGCCGCCTCCAGATCCTGATTGAGTCTCTTCACCTGACCATTAGTCTGTAGATGGAATCCCAAGGAGAGACTCAGGCTTGCCCCAGGGCTGAACAAAAGGCCTTCCAGACCTGGGAGACAAGCTGAGGCCCCCGGTCAGAGACAATGTCAGTGGGGATGCTGTGGATGAGGAAAACGTGCTGCATTAACAGGCAGTCTCATGGGCGGACAGAAGCTTGGAGAGAGCAACGAAGTGCACAGCCTTAGCAGAATAATGCTTTGGATGTGAGAAGATAAAAGTTGACCAACTAGTAAAAACAGACTGGACAGCCTTGTCTTATTCCCGTTACTCTTAAACCTAAGGGAGGTACCATTGCACAGTTTAACAGAGCAGTTTGCTTTGAAATATGTTTCAATACTTTTGCAGAAGTAAAACCCAAATCCAAATGCTTGAAGGGTAGAGAAAATGTATTTATTCTCAAATGTATTTATGCTATGAAATGGCTTATGATAATCTAAGAGAAGTATTAAATTTTCATCAGTTAAATGTGAATAGTCAATTAAATCAAGGACTAATCTTACAGTATATTGTTAGATATATTAGATTAGATTAGATTTGAGTTCATTATTTTTATGGACAGAATTTCTAGGCACAGCCAGGTAACAAAGAGTGTCTGTTTTGGTGGCCGCAGAATCTCATCCCTGCTTTTTGTGGATGATGTGGTTTTGTTGGCTTCATCAGTTCAAGACCTACAACGGACACTGGAGGGGTTTGCAGCTGTGTGTGAAGCAGCGGGGATGAGATTTAGCACCTCCAAATCCGAGGCCATGGTTCTCAATTGGAAAAAGGTGGATTGCACTCTCTGGGTTGAGGTGAGTTCCTCCCTCATGTGGAGGAGTTTAAGTATCTTGGGGTCCTTGGAGTGGCAGGTTATCAGATGGATCGGTGCGGCATCCGCAGTAATGCAGTCTCTGTACCGGTCCATTGTGGTGAAGAAGGAGCTGAGTCGTAAGGTGAAGCTCTTAATTTACCAGTTGAGCTATGTTCCTACCCTCACCTATGGCCATGAACTTTGGATCATGACCAAAAGAATGACCAAGCAGCAGAAATGCGCTTCCGCCAGAGAGTGGCTGGGCGCACCCTTAGGGATAGGGTGTGGACGTCAGTCACCTGTGAGGAGCTCAGAGTAGAGCCGCTGCTCCTCCATGTTGAGCGGAACCAGTTGAGGTGGCTCAGGCACCTGTTTAGGATGCCCCCTGGATGCCTCCCTGGGGAGGTATTCTGGGCATGTCCCTCAAGGAGAAGGCCTCGGGGCAGACCCAGGACACGCTGGAGAGACTATGTCTCCCGGCTGGCCTGGGAACGCTTTGGGGTTCCCCCCTGAGGAGCTAGAGGAGGTGTGTGGGGAGAGGGAAGTCTGGGAGGCTCTGCTCAGACTACTACCCCCGTGACCCGGTCTCGGATAAAGTGGACGAAGATGGATGGATGGATAGAATTGAGATTAGATTAGATTTGTGTTACCTGTGTAGTGGTTAAAACAAACAAGCTAATATACAATATGTAATATAATACAGTGAGAGTGTGCAGATTACATGTAATTATTATATGCAGTGGTCAATTAATAACTAATTTCTGCAAGCCCTCTGTACTATGTCAGCTCACTGTGTAAATAGTTTCTGTGTGTTGAAGCAAGAACATTTTGGGTTCATGGCCTGTTTGTTTAATCCATTGGTCATCCTGATCTGGAGATGACCTGTTAACTAGGTTTGGGAATTGGCGGGGGAGCCAAAAGTGAGCAGTGTACAAAAGGAGGCAGTATGCTGCTGCAGTAGAGTAATTTAGTGTGTGTGTGCGGAAGAAGGACGTATGAGTGAGACCCTGGCCGGGGGGATGTGATGGACTTGACCTAAAAGAGACTGACTGACTCTGTGACAATCTTCTTGTCTAATACTGCATTTATTTCCTGCAGGAATGGTGACTCTGTCCCCTATCTCTTAGTCTGTTGAATTGTCTGCCAAACTATTGAACTGCCTTGGATTATTGTAATATTAAATTATCATTGTAATTGGAATGATTCTCTGAATTAATTCAGCTCGCATCAGGTCCTACCAACCACACCTGCTTATCTACTTTAAATTTCACTTGTATTGTGTGACATTCATGTGGATGGCAAAGTAAGAATTTCATTGTATAGGTAAACATGTTTCCACATTGTGCATATGACAGTAAGCAGTGTGACCTTTGACCTTGTTACAGGTCACAGTGCGCCATGACAACCAGGCACAAGGACAGTTTCTTCCCCTGTTTATTTTGTTAAACTACACAGCCTTATTTTGGTTTACTGTTTACTTGCCCCTTGCATGGGGATATGTACATGCACATTGAGAGCCGCTGTACCAGAGGCAAATTCCTTGTGTTCAACACACCTGGCCAATAAAGCTGATACAGACTTTGATTGATATTCCTATTCTTTATAAATCCAGATTGAATCATCAACAATCTAAAACATTTTTTATTCTTTTTGCAAGCAAGGAGGGTCCTGCAGGTCCTGTATGCATGGGAGGAAGCCTAGCTACATATATGCCAATAGCCTGAACCATACATGGTTTGAGTCCTAATTTGATTGGCCACATATCTTGTCAATCTTATAAACATCGACTTAGGTCATGCATAAATAAGGCTGTCCCCCACAGAGTTGTTTTGAGAGTTGATTAGCTAGCTGCACTGATTGTCGTGCTGACTGGCCAATGTAAGAGCTACATGCATGAAAATAGGGGTTTCTGACAGGCAAGGCCTAGTGATTACAACAATATGGTATTTGCTCAGTTAGTTTTAAGATTTTAGCAGAAAATAAGCATAGAACATGAAAAAACAAAAAACAAAAATGAAGACTGCTGATTGAAAATGCAAACAGAGCTGCTCTATTTTTTGGATTTTTTCTTCATGACAATATGTTTGTTGGACTAAGACTTGGGTGGATTTTATTCACTGGGAATCTGGTTACACATCTGCACTTCAAATAACACCAAAAGGTAAGGATCAACTGCCCTGTTGTGTGTGCCATGCTCCCACAAAATGAAAAAACAGCTTTTGCAGTAATATGTGAACCCTAAAATGCCTTACATTACCAAAATCATGAGACTAAAAGCTTTCAAACAGTGTATAGCATGGCGTAGATGCATTTATATAGTCTGATACTGACAGAAACATCGGTAATGAGATCAGAGTGTCCCACAGGTGGGATATGCTGTTATAAAAACAGCAGGGAGTTGCATTTGTCATGATCCTGCCCCGTCTGCTTCCGGGATCCTGCTTTTATTTTGGTACCACTTCCTGTCACCAGCTCATCCACAACCCCGGTAACTTCATCTCATCATGCACATTGGTTTCACCTGCCACTAATCACCCACACCTGTTCACCACAGCATATAGCAGCTCCTCATACTGTGAGGAGCTGCCAGATTGTTCTATGCCCTGTCTAGACTCTCCAGCGTTTTTCCCTGACTGCTTTCCTGGTACTGGACCCTTGCCTGCTCTAATGATCTGTGATCCAGCCTGCTCCCTCTTGTCTGACTGCCAACCTGAGATTGACACCCTGCCTGTTCAACCAACCTGTGATTCTGCCTTGCCTTCCCTGCTGCCCTGCTGGAGACTTCGACCCTGGACCGTATTAAGTACCACTCTTCTGCCTGATCCCCCAAGACTGTGTGTGTGTTTCTGATGAGATCACAAAAGGACATTAAAATCTGTTCTACTGCCTCAGCGGACTGGCTCTTTAATTGGGTTCACTCCTATCTTCACGGGAGCGTCACCCTCCTCCCTGACAGCATTTTTACCGGATCAGTCTGAATGCTGTGAAATATTGAATCATTTAGGTTGCTATATAACTAAGGCACTAACATAGTTTGGATATTGGTATTTTAATAAGACACTGTATTATGAGACAAAAGTATAACCTTCACATAGTTGTAGTGTGTGCGTGTTCACTCATTATTAAATGCACTTCTGGGGAGTTGTGCTTAGCACGACTCTGCTCCAAGGGAGTTACCAAGGGAAAGAAACTGATTACACAAGTTACAGATGTGTATTATAAGAAAGAATGTTGGCTAGTATCAATTGGTTTCAGCTGCAGGATGAGACGATGTGTAGGGGAGGGGGAAACTAGCATAAAACACACAGTCTAAGGTAGTTTCACTTCAGATCATTTTGCTCTGCTGCTGACTATGATCTCCAGATGCATCTGCAAATAAAGGTAATATGTGCACATTGATATTTGGTGTGTGACTGCAATTCTTTCCCAGGAAGCTATATTTGGTGATGGTTAAGAGAAGTACGGGGTGTACCACTCGTTAGGTTCCGATAGTGGAAACACAGCAAAACTGTGTGTGTATGTGTGCATGCCTCACCAGTACTGACAGGGGTGATAGTTGCAGAGTCGAACTTGAGGTTTGGGTCGGTTCTCATGTTGGCAGTAGCTATCGTTGACCACCTCCATGGTTTTATTGGCTATCCTCATACAGGAAACCACTGTCCTTCGCTCACCTGTGCATCCACAAGCACACACGCACACATCAGCATGCCACCTTTTTCTAAGGGGTTTTGGAACAACTTATACTGTGCATTAGCCTGAGGTTGTCATGTAGTTCACAGGAAGACTGGAGTAGGTGACACTAGTGATGTCTTACTCGAAGCAGAAGGCTCGACACCGTATCAACCTGTCAAAGCAGAAGTATCGTGGCATAATGTTTCAATGCCTCGCTTCACCATGCGAAAAATCACATGATCACCACAAACGAGTCCTTGTTACATCACAGTCGTATCAGCAAGGTGTCACACTGGTTTGAATACTAAATGTAGTATTTAATAGAGTCACAGAACCAATTTAAAAGTTTTCACAGTATTTTCATATTACTATTGAACAAAATAAAATTAATAAAAGCATTAATACTGCTTATATTCTGACTACCTGTTTCTGCATGGTTTCAGAATTATTTCAGCAGATGGCACCATTTTTGACTGTGTCAGTGCTGAGAAACAGTAGCTGACACCTAGGTATGTGAGCATTTAAGTATTTTTTGAAGAGGAATGTAAGCACATCTTTTTGTAAACCACATTTCACATTCTAGTATTTTGTTTATATGTAAGGTGTGTGGGTGGGGGAGGGAGGGCTGCTTTTCATAAAAACCTAAGGGATTTGTAGCATTCTAACAGAGGCTTGGCTAAGAATAGCTCATTGTTTCGTCATGATTCTGCCAAAATACACAGAGTATAAGTATAGAGCACCTGTCAAAATATGATTTACGACCCCTCCCCAACTTAGTTTAGTGCCTGCTCTTGTGCTGCCACACTTTCACCTCGGCCTGTGCGGAGGTAGAGGTGTGGCACAGTAATGCCCCACCTATGACTAGTGGGGTATATCACATTTTAACTGTATTCACAAAGAAGCTTTGTCATTGTAGTAGCATACTTAACATGACGTTTACAAACTCAGTAACTTATGGTGCAGTGGTAACAATGTTTAATAGATCTTTGACTAGATACAGGAAACACAGTGTAACAGATTATAGGCTAATTATTTATCTATAATAGTACCAGTATGATAAGGAATATGGTCAGACAATTCAGAAGCCTACTCTGCTATTTGTGCATCCACAAGCACCTGGTGACAGAAAGGGGAACTGCAGGTATGATTTTATTTGTTTGGTGCAGGGTTAAAAACATTGCATTACTGAGACCACACCACCGTTAGGGTACCACAAACATAATATGCTGAAAATGTATGGCAATTTAAATAGCTACATCTGTATTGAACTTAAATTAGCATTTTTATTGAACTTAAGTATAATAATTAAAATTATTTTAATAATTATACATGACAGATATTTTAAAATAATTTTTTTTTTTAAATCTCACATACCCCTGCAGTACTCTAAAGTACCCCTAGGGGTACTCGCATCCCCATTTGAGAAACGTAGCTAAGCAATACTGCTCAGGTAAGAGCAGTCCCATCAGGGCAGCTACATAATTACAGGAACCAAGAACCTATGGCTTTACAGCTAAACTGTAAGAAGCCATTCAATGCCTAGTATCTGCAGGGGGAGCTGTTACAAGTCGTTTTTTGTTTTCATAGTACTAGGGATTTTGACCACAAAGGACCCCCATTTGCTAAGTTTATCAGCATGAAAAGCAGCAACAACCAGCCAGAGGGTCAAGAACAGCTATGACTTCTTTCACAGACTGACAACATGCCCCTTTCAGGGGGTTGGAAAGTGTGCAGGAGGACAGCGGCGGAGAACACAATGGAGAAAATATAACGGCTGTGTTGTTAAATGAATGGTATGAACAGAACCAAATCAGCAGACAAAGCTAGAATCAGTGCATGACCAGAGTTCCAGCAAGGGCTAACACAGGAATTTGCTTGTTTGTTATAGGGTGTAAGAAACACATTGTACAACTTTCATACATACTGGAAAGCAGGGTGTAGCTTGAGCACAAAGGATGGGAGATATTATGCTGAACCACAATTGATCAAAGCACACTACGTTTGAGACCCTGAGTAGAGTATTACATGTAACAAAAACATTACAAACACAGAATAACAATGGCACAGATAATATGAAATGGCTTACCTCAGGAAAGACAACACCATGCTCAATTGAGGCTCCAACATAGTAATTACCCTGTTAACCAGACAACAAGCATGTCATGCTGTAAGCAGAATATTAAATCCTTTGAAACTCTTATAACACCTGCTACATGCAGCCAATATATAGGGAAGAGGTGGAATATACCCTACAATTGCTGAATAGATTGGCAAAAGACAAAACACCTGTCTGTCAGCTCCAAAGAAAGCGCATGTTTCATTCACTACAAACATAAAAATATCCCAAACTAAAAACTTAGTTACAGTTATCTACAGTCTTCATGGATTCAAATAAAGGAAATACAAGCAATGCTACTTTGTTATTTCAACCAACATTGTGGTTGGAACAGGCATTACAGCTGTAGAAGTAAAAACTACCATGTCATCAAGAGGTAGAATTCAGACAGCACCACACTGTCATTGTAGCTTACACTGTGACAGTATTACATATTGTTATAGGAACTAACAGGGAGATTGAATTGGTAAAACTCTCCATTCATAAAATATACACCCTAATAAATACACATTATTTAAAACCCACATACTGTTTTATTCCCACACGTTTTGCAGTTTAAACCATCCATCGCCGCCTGACCTATTTAAGTTTGATTAAACATTTTCCTATAAAACATTTTATCTGCCCTATTCATTTTTCCAACTCAAATCATTTACTTTTTTCAAAAGTTAAATAACACAACTAAATATCTACATCATAAATGTACAATTGGAATCCTGCTCTCTGGAGGGGACAAATCCCTGTCAAGTGATTTACTCTGTGTATTATGAGCTATGAGGTGGAGCCACATCTCCAGGGTGTCCCTTGGGCCCTGACCTAACTGTCATTTTGCCTGTAGTAGCCAACAGGTTCACCACTGCCCAAAGAGGGAAAGAAAAGAAATTTCACTGCTGTTAGATGATGTAGCTCCGGTTTGGCAAGCTGCTGCTTTAACCCTCTACTACCCAAGCATACCCCATAAGGGATCGCTTAGAGGCCCATGATCAAGCCATGTGTAAATCGCCAGAGGCACAAAGAAAAGGCACTGGCATAGATCATAGATGCTTTGTGGAATATTTTTACTGGATGAGTGCCTTATTCTACACCACCTGTAGATTTAATTCAAGATGGTAAGTTTTATGTTTAACTATGTATGCTGTGTGTGTGTTTAGTTAAAAAATGTTTCTAAAAATATTTGATTTGGAGCAGATCTGGACTACAAATTATGATTATCAATACCTCGTAATAATACACTGAAAATGAGGCACTGGGCTTTTTGTCTCATAAAACACATGGTAAACAGACAAACAATTATTAATCCAGTTCTGAAGTAATGAATTCTCAAGACAATGATTCCTTTACTGAGATAAAAGATGACAGAGAAAGCCTTCTTGTGATGGCGTGAGCTTATGATTTAGACAAAAGAATCTAATACAAAAACACCAAAAAGAAACGCGGGCCAACAAGCATAACAAATTCAAGCTTCACCTGAGAACAAAGGAAGGTTTGACTTGTTAGTTATTTGCTAGTTTTGTGGTGTTGTCTCATCTGATTGGCTGAGTCTCTGCTCTGAGTCACCTAATTCAGGGGTGGCCAATTCCAGTCCTCAAGGGCCTGTCCTGCTTGTTTTCCAACTATCCCTGCCTGATGGCTCAGGTCTGTTCAGTCAGAAGCTGGAAGATACCAATTCACTTTATCTTTCCTCACTCCACTTTCATCTAAGATGGTATTTTCCAGCTTCTGACTGGCTGAACACACCTGAGCCAGGTAATCAGCGGCAGGTCAGGCAGGGATAGTTCTTGTATTTTTATTAGCTATTAGAATGATTTCTTTTTCTGAGAAAGGAGAAGTAGAAGATGCTGAATCACAGTGGGGTGGAGGTCAGTGGACTTGAGCTTTGACAGTAAAAGATATGCAACAGTTCTCAAAAACACGACTTTGCACACCAAATAAGGCCATGACTGGAAAATGCGGCATCTGGTTGGATGGAAGGATTAAGCCTACGTGACAAAAAGCCTATAAAATCCATGGCATAAAGAGAAACGAGAGACTCCTTAACAGTTGCTGCCGGAGGCTCTGTCCAATTGTTTTTCTGAGCTCCAGAAGACCGAGACTGCGGAGGAGCAGGCCAAGAGAGCAACTCATCATTGGGTGCTCCACTGCAGGCCAGCTTGAATCCTGGCCTAAAGGAAAGAGCAACAAATGATGGCTCAAAATGTCACCACAACCAACTCGAGCCAGCTGAGAACAGGATTCAGTGAGTAATCCTTTGACTTTTATTCAGTGATTGAGAGCTCAACTATGATTATTTTAATCAGTTTGATACTTTAGATTGAGATTTAGAAAGAGTAGTTGTTGATTCATTTAGATGGTAAGCCAGTCAAAATGACTGTTGATGATTTTAACGTTTTGCCTAATATATTTTAAATAAACTAGTCACTACATTATACACATTATAACTCAAATGTCCTATCTTAGAAAATAACTTATGTCAACTAAATACTATGCAAAGCAAACGTGGTCTTAAGTGGCCAGTGTCACAGCTTTTGTGGGTTATTTCAGACAAAACTTAACACTTTGTCATGTTTGCTCAGTGGCACTTCCCTCTCTCGCCTCCATCTCGTTTTTTCTGCCTCTCTATTCACTCCACTTTGCACACATGTCACATATTCCAGTGATTACACCACCTGTATGGGCTTAGCCCTTCACCCTATTTTAGCCCAGTTCACTTATCGTTCCCTTGCCAGTTCATTGTTTGCTTCCAGGCCAACAACCCACGCAACTGTGATTCTCTATAGTGTTTTCTTTTTTTGAGTGTTACTAGTCACAGTCGTTTCTGGATTCTTGTCTTATTTTTCCCAGTATCCACGCTACGCCTCTCCAGTCCCTCCTGACCACCACTACCACAGATGATCTTCTCTTGACCATACGCCTACTTACCCTGCCAGTCCCACTAGCCAGGTTGATGCACAGTCCTACATACTGCTTCATCTCACCATTGTCCTCTACTCTGTTCTTCTCAGCCGGTTTCCATCTCCACCCACCAGCCAGTAAGCGACCCAATCTATTCTGCAGCTCGGGCCGCCTTCTCAACTACAGACTAGATACTGAATTCTGTGCTGATCGATGCCCGGTTTTCCCAAATCTCAAACCATAGTGATTTTGTTCTGTTGTTTTCATGTCACTTGGAATGACACATGGGGGATTTGTATAGCACTCATTAAATCCGATTGCATCATTGTCAGCCCTCTTGGTCCGTTCTTTTCCGCTCACTCGCTTTCCTGTGTGTGAGCGTTCCTTAACACACTTCCTCAAAGAGCCAGAGTATACTGGTTCCTAAAACTTCTCAGTAGCTGTCTATAATGCAGGTTGTTATTATTTGGGGGGATTTGGAGTCTTGTCCTAAATTAATAACATCTAAGAGTCCAAAACGTGTGATGAACCAGTGGGGGAACTAATGGAAAAAGGTGTTTATATGGGAAACTGAACCGGGAGGTAATGAGTGGCAGGTGGATGTAATTCTGGCTGATTACGCTGGCTTGTATATGACAGGCAGGAAAAGACAGGGAAAAGCAACAGAAAAACAGGAAGCCTAAGACCAAACCACAACACATGTACCCTTGAGACTGTCCAGGCTTTTCCACTATTGTGATTCTCAAATCCTCAGATAATTCTTTGCTCTTCTTTCTTTTCTCCATGCTTAGTGTGGTCCACATGACACTAAGGTTGAATCAAGTTTTCTCCATTTTAACTGGTTACAAGTGTGATTTCTGTGTTACCAGCACCTGTTGGTTGCTACAGGTGAGTTTCATTACAAATTAAAGGAGAATCACAGGCTGGAAATACAACTGTTTCTAATGATTTTGAGAAGGTGTCAATAATTTTGTCCAGTCCATTTTTGGAGTTCTGTGTGGAATGGATCAGATTTGGCTTTTTTTTCCCTCCTCCTGTCCATCCCAGCCCAACGATTGCACTGTCATCAGAAAAGCTCTACATGTGGCAAGACTCTCAGTTGTATTTGAAGTCTGTGGTGTACGGAGTGGAAAAGAAGGGGGAGAGGATTTTCCCCTGTGGTGCTTCTGTGCTGCTGACCACCGTCTCTGAGGTGCAATCCCTCAGCCTGACATACTGAGGTCTCTCCATAATCCAGGACACCAGATGTGAGTCCACTCCCATTTCTATCATTTTGTCTCTCTGTATCAGGGACTGGATGGTGTTGAAGGGGCTGGAGAAGTCAAAAAAACATGATCCTCACAGCACCTTTCCCCTGTCCAGGTGAGAGAGAAACTGGTGATGCAGCTAGAGGATGGTGTCCTCCACCCCCACCTCCTCCTGGTACACAGCCTGCAGAGGGTTAAGCACCTGGTGGACCTGGGGTCTGAGGAGGTGTAACGACAGCTGTTCTAGGGTCTTCATGGTGTGTGATGTCGGGGCGACCAGTCTGAAGTCATTCAGTTCTCTGAGGTGTGGCTTCATGGGGACAGTAATGAGGCATGATGTCTTCCAAAGTCCGGGGACCCTCCCCAGCTACAGGCTCAGGTTAAAACCATGCTGAAAGGGTTCTCCCAGCTCAGCAGCACAGGCTCTGAGTAATCTAGGACATAATCTATCTGGGCCGGCTACTTTGTTGCGGCAGAGTCTCCACAGCTCCTCCCTGAACTCAGCTGCATTTATAAAAAATAACAATGAAAACTACAACCCCAAATCAAAAAAAGCTGGGACAGTATGTAAGATCAAAATTAAAACATCCATCCATTTTCTAAACCGCTTAGTCCCAAACAGGGTCACGGAGCCAATCCCAGCCAGCTGCGGGCGAGGGTACATCCTGGACATGTCACCAGTCCATTGCAGGACTAACACACACAATCACTCCTACGTGCAATTTAGAGACACCACTCAACCTATGCTGCATGTCTTTGAACTGTGGGAGGAAGCCGGAGCACCTGGAGAGAACCCACGCAAGCACGAGGAGAACATGCAAACTCTGCACAGAATGGCCCCGGGTTGGCCGGGGCTCGAACCCAGAACCTTCTCGCTGTGAGGCAACAGCGCTAACCACCACACCACCGTGCTGCCCAAAAAACTGAAAACAGTGATATGTAAATCGTCTGTGTCCTGTATCACATTGAAAACAATCCAGCAGCACATTATTTGACACCACATCAGTTTTATTCTTTGTTCAAAATAAACTCCCACTTCAATCCTGATGCTGCAGCACATTCCAAAAAGTCTGGACAGTAAAGCATTTACCACGATGTGATGCTGCCGTTTCATTTCACAATACCTGAAAGACATTTAGGGACTGAGGACACCAAGTGATTCAGTGTGTCAGGTGTCATTTTGTCCCATTCTTCCTGCAAACAAGTCTTAATGTGCACAACAGTCCTGGGTCTTTGTTGAGGCTATTTGTGTTTCAAAATGCTCCACACATTCTCTATTGGAGACAGGTGGGGACTGCAGACAGGCTAGTCCAGCACTCGCACCCTTTTCATCCAGAGCCAGGCCTTGGTAACTGTGGCAGTGTGAGGTTTTTCATTGTCTTGTTGAAATATGCATGGACATCCCAGTAAAAGATGTCGTCTAGAAGGCAGCAGATGTTGCTCCAAAATATCTCAGTACTTTTCAGCATTAATGGAGCCATCACAGAAGTGGAAGTGACCTTTCCAAGGGCACTGACACAACCCCAGACCATGACAGGCGCTGGCTTTTGGACTTGTTGCTGGTAACAGTCTGGATGGTCCTGTTGGTCTTTGGTCCGGAGCACACAGCCCCAGGAAAAACATACATTTGGGTTTTAACAAGCTCTCATGTCTGGCAGTGGATTCATCCATCCATCCATTATCTATACTGCTTATTCCTGAATAGGGTCACAGCGGAGCTGGAGACAATCCCAAATGACACTGGGCAAAAGGCAGGGTCCACCCTGGACAGGTTGTCAGTTTATCACAGGACTGACACTGAGAGACAACCAACCACTCACACTCATTCCTACAGGCAACTTAGAGTCATCAATCAACCTAAGCTGCATGACTTTGGACTGTGGGATGAAGCCAGAGTACCCGAAGAGAACCCACACAGGCACAGGGAGAACATGCAGACTCTGCACAGAAAGGCCCCAGGTTGGCCCAGGCTCAAACCTGGAAGCTTCTTGCTGTGAGACGACAGCGCTAACATTATTTTACTGCTGAGGCAACCTGAGTACCCCGCAGAGATTGTTATTTACATGACATTATATAGTGATGTTTGAGTGCAACTGTAATAGTGTGCTTGTAAATGTCATTGTGTGTGTGTCTTACCTCCTCCACATTGGACAGTACAGTCCTGCCAGCTGCTGTGTGTCCAGATGTAGAGATACTCTAGTTCCTTCTGCTCCTCACTGTTCTTGTGCCGAGTTGTGTTCAGAGACACTGTGTACTCATAATGGATCCCATAACTTTGATCATGAAAGAGCAGTACCTGGGAACATGGTAGAGATGTGTCAAAGGTGAAGCTGTGCATTCCCCAAATTCATTTTTAAAGTTTCAAAGCAGTGAGCAATAGTCATGCTTACAATGGTTGCTTGTTGTGGACTTCAAATCAAATCAAGTTTATTTATATAGTACTTTAAAAACATCCAGCTGACCAAAGTACTTTATGTGGCAGAATAAAATCACAATACATGACTAAAATAGAATACATAAGATCAGTGCAAAAAAAAATAAAAAATTTAAATAAAATGGCACAATAACACAGACACACAGATGACATACTGTATGTTCAATAAATTTAAATTAAAAGGAATGCATCAGGCCCTACTGTGTATTAAAAGCCAAGCCAAATAAAGATGTTATAAGCAAGGATTTAAAAGTAGTCAGGTCAGTAACTGACCTAACATTAAAAGGTAAATTATTCCACAATTTAGGGGCTGCAACAGTAAAAGCACGGCCACCCCAGCGTTTATACCTGGCCCTTGAAACCTCTAAGAGAAACTGGCTTGAAGATCTGAGGGACCTTGTAGGCTTGTGCCAATGCACTAATTCGGTGAGTAAGATGGTGCCAAGCCATTAGGAGCCTTAAAAACAAAAATCAATAACCTAAAATCAATTCTAAAATGGACTGGAAACCAGTGGAGAGAAGCCAGAACTGGGGTTATATGCTCGAATTTCCTAGTACTTGTCAAAAGACGAGCAGCCGCATTTTGAACCATCTGAAGACGAGTGAGAGAAGACTGGTTAACACCATAGTATAGAGCATTGCAATAATTAAGTCTAGAAGTGATAAAAACATGGATTGCAATCTCAAAATCATTAAAAGAAAGAAATGACTTGACCTTGCTTAACAGCCTAAGGTAAAAGAAGCTAGATTTCACAACTGAATTGATTTGCTTGTCAAATCTCAAGTCACCATCAAACATCACCCCTAGATTTTTTTTACAGTCAACTTCAGATGTCGAGCTAGGGAGCCCAGGCACTGGTTAGAAGCAGTTAAGTTCACCAGGTCACCAAATAGCACACACTCAGTCTTATTTTCATTAAGATTTAAAAAGTTAAGTGCCAACCATGATTTCAAGTCTGTCAGACAGCCAAACAATGGCTGTAATGACATCCCTCTTGTTGCCTTTAACAGTAAGTAAATCTGAATGTCATCAGCATAACAATGAAAAGAAAGGGCATTTTCTTAAGATACTGTAGATCCCAGTGGGAGCATGTACAATGAGAACAAAATGGGACCAAGCACAGATCCTTGGGGGACACCACAGGAAAGGATAGTTGAGGAGGACGAACAGGTACCAATATTAACAGTAAAACTTCTATTGGTGAGATAAGATCTGAACCAGTTAAGAACAGTACCTTGAATTCCTACACACTGCTCCTCCAAACAAGATAAGAGGATTCCATGATCCACTGTATTGAAGGCAGCAGTGAGATCTAAAAGCACCAATAAAACGGAATCCCTGGCATCCCTAGCCAACAGGATATCATTACTGATTTGTAATAACAGACTCAGTACTATGTTTTGATTTAAAACCAGATTGAAATTGCTCCTCAATGTTGTTATCTGTCAAAAAAGACTGGAGTTGGGTAAAAACAATCTTCTCCAGAACTTTAGACTGCATCATTGTCAGACTTTAGATTAAAAAGATAATTTAGACACTGGTCTAAAATTAGAGAACACTGAAGGGTCAAGATTTGGGTTTTTGAGATGAGGCTGGACAATCGTTTTTTTGAAAGCATCTGGAACTGAGCCTGTCCTTAAACATAAATTAATTAAAGCCAGAAAGCTAGGCCCAACAGACTTCAGGAGAAAACCTCTAAAGCATGCACCACTGACCATCAATGGTGCTGTAGTGGAGAGATTGTGCAGTACCAAGTTCCTGGGAGTGCACATGTCTGAGTACCTCTCCTGGACCAACAACACCACATCACTGGCCAAGAAGGCTCAAATATGCCTCAACTTCCTCTGCAAACTGTGGAGAGTCAGTATCCCACCCCCCATCATGCTGGATGATTTGACTCTTATAGGCTCTAGTTACTTTATAAGCTTTAGTTACTTCTCATACCTTTAGTTCCCCTTAGTTACCTTTCATAACCTTATTTTCCTTGTTTATACATATTACAGCT